GGATGAATCCTTTCCCATGAGAAAGAAAATCCTGACAATGGGACCTAAAACTATGAAATTAATAAGATGGTTCCTGAAACAAAGTCCTTACTTACGTGCCTTGATCAACATTTTGACTCTGTCCATGTACTGGGAAAGCCTTGCTTTGGTGGTCCACATGATCAAACATCCCTCTCAATACATTAATCGCTAGAAAGCTCTCTCTTTGTCCTTTGCAGAGCCCATGGGACCCATCTCCACTTACTAAACATTTTAGAGATGTACTGTACTATAAGCTCTGCTGAATATTTTCCTAGACATTTATGGCTTCCAATAACAGATTTAATTCAAAGGTTCACAGCCTAAATTCTGGGGGCTGTTTATGGCCCCCAACGTCTTGAGTGTCGTTCCCAAGCATTATTTCCATATTATAATTATTAATGTGACAGGAGGAAAAAAATATTAAACATATGTGGGAGAATAATTGTATTAGTTATGCTTAATTAATTTGATGCCTTTATACTATAAATCAAGTCAAAGGTAGCATTTATCTAGCCACTAGCCACTTTTAGGAGGGCAATCCCAACAACCCATCAATCAAAATCTAAGTGTAGCTCTTAGCTCAAAAAAAGTTGCACAACCTTGTATATATGGATTGCTACTGTCAAAAGTTTTAGACTGGCTTGTGGTCTGTCAGCAAAGTGGTCATGATGTCCCCCAACATGACTGAACCTTCCATTCAGCGTGTTTTAAGCTTTGTTAATATCCAGAAGATGTTCCTACTGAAGATATTTAAATATTTGTAATAGATACTTAGTGCCTGGAGAGAATTTATTTTGAATTACTCTGAGCTTCCAGTTTGTACAGAAATAGTTATTCAGATGATAACAAAATGTAAGGATGTCACTTGCACCTGAAATTTCTAATCCTCAATTAATCCTAATTGAGTCTAATCTAATCCTCAGCTACTAATATCTCTCTCGCACACAGACACTACAGATTCAAGGGTGACCAAAGAACATTCTGGACTTTAGAGAAGCTATAAGTGCGAAGAGAGTTGTATTTCATGTTGTAAGCCTCCTTTGGGCTCACCTCAGAATCAGAATTTCTCTTGAGTTCATGAATAACAGCAAAAGATATTTAGAATGGATAAGTACAACATATCATAAAATACACCCCCCCACACACACACTCCAATTCATGATTCTTGAGAGTATAGCTCAATATTAATCAGTAGATAGTTACCATCTGCAATAAAGAGTTTGTAAAATTAAAGGAGTTTCACTGTCCTTTTCACACATAAATTAACTGTAGGATCTCAAGTGAAACCCATAGGTAACTAATACTTACACACATGTCAGCTTATTATCTGATTGTGTTTACACTCTTACTAACGGATGACCTGTCCTGTACGATTTCTTAAATACATTGTTGACTTTCTTCTAGGTGGATGTATGCATATGAAATGCCCTCAACGTCAGTGTAAATTTGAATGGTGTTGGAAGTGTAGCCTTGAATGGAACAGAACCTGCATGGGAGATCATTGGTTTGACTGATCCTTAAGTAGTCCTATAAACAGCCAAGAGATGATATGATAATATACTAGTGAAACAACTGGAGCACAACCAAAGTTGCTTCAAACAATATCAGATTCTAAACACCTTGCTCAGGCTATGAATTTCTCATGAATCTGATTGTGAGGACTAATTAGGAAGATCTGAACAATTGGTTTATGTGTTTTTCACAAGCACCACAGATCTAATTATTAGTATATATATTCAGAGGGTCATTATACCTCCTAAGTCCAACTTAGCATTTAAAAAAATAATCAGAAGGGCCAGGCTATCATTTGTTAGGTACATTACTGCTTACACGAAGAGGACTCTGTAATGGTGCTTCCTCCCTTGGAAATTATGACATTTCCTCTGCCAGCTTTTTTTTTTAATTGATTTAGTCTTTGATCTGAAAACTAGGTATCTATTATTGGGCAAAATAAAGAACTATGCAAAACTGGGCCTCTCAAAGCTGTTTAAGCTATTATGGTTTATATGTATCAGCCATTCAGTTTGTGGTTTTGTGTTTGATGCTTTAAAATTACAAATTGTTAATTTTCAAATTACATAGCAGTAATCACAAGTGCAGTTGCAAGCAAGCAAGATGATACAACACAACTTGCCTTCTAAAACAAGGGTGTTTACAGTACAGTTTTTTGATAGTGACCCAAATTTTTACTGGACTGGTTTCCAGGCCTAAGCCACAGAGAAGATAAAAAATATAGATGCTTGTTTTCTTCTTTTGACCCAGTTAAGATGTTTTCCCCCTTTGACCTGTGCATTCCTAGCAAATGTTAGATGAGGTTGGCTAATATATACATTGGAAACTTATGCAAAGCTTTTCCATGTCAGCATCAATTTGAGCTATGTGGCACTTTGCTTGGTACGATAGAAACATCTACAGTTCTGCTCGAGTTACCTCAAAATCGTTATAAAACTTTATTTTTAGCATTATTTTTTTACGTGTCTTTGGAGAAGCTGTGCTCATGTTTTAAAAGATCTTGCTGCATCCGTGTTTAATCCACAATAAAAGTTCTGGTGTTTTCATGTTCTTGATGGTATGTGGTTACTTCAGATTTATTATAATGAAGCCATTGTTAAGATACTTGAAAGCAATCACTCCTTGAAAACACTGAATAGGTAGGTGGCTCACACAGTATGCTACATCAGAGCTAGTCAGCTTGCTTTGATACTGTATTTGCCAATCCTCTAACTCAAAGCTTGAGGATCCCAATCACTTCTCAACATCAAGAATTTAAGGAGCTGCATGTTGACAGATGCCACAACTCATACAGGGTGTCCCCCCCCCCCCCCCCCCCC